CCAAGGCTGCTGTAGTAGTCCTGCTGGGTTTACACTGAAGGGGTCCATCAATGGAAAAAATGTTAGGTGATGCACAGTGATTGCAGGTTGCAGAAATCTGTTTTTTTAAAAATTTTATTTTAATCACTGATTTCAAGCTGATGTCTGTTTTTTTTTTCTGCTATGGTAAACAGAAGTGTGATTGGGATTCATGACATCTCTCCTCTGCATCCAAACAAATCTACATCTGACCCATCTGACTTGTAGTATAGTTTTTCTAAAGTTAATGCAGTAACAAACCAGCTGTTTTAAGAGGAAGACATTTTCTTTCAGCCTTCCAGTGTTGGAGGAAAGAAAGGACTCAAAGAACAAAGTATGATGTGTCAGTGACGCTGTAGCAGAGAGTAGAGAGAGCTTGAAAAAACTGTCTACGCGTTTTGTAGCAAGAGTAGGGAATTAGCAGATTATTCTTTATTTTGGTTAAACTCTTACACTTTCAAGAATCCTCTCGTCATCCTTGTGAATGAGACACCTTGTCTCTGAGAGGGGATCACAGTGTCTTTTATGAGTCACTTTTTTATGGGAATTCTCATAACCTTTATGAATTTAGGCACACAGCACAGGAAACAGTTTGACAAAAGCGACAAATCATTGTAAAAGCATCACCAGCAAACGCGTCACATCTTGCATCCGCCGGCCTAATCTGGGTTATTGCGTCATTGCAACGCATGAGATCTGCACCAGACAGTGGTGGTGGCACATTATGTTTCATATCTCCTGTGTATTGTGTCAGCAGTGAAGTCTGGCAAAGCGGGGAGACCACGTATTTACCAAGAAGATCCAACAAACGTCAGCTTTACTGGAAAAACTGAAGGAAAGGTGACAACACACGTCACTCTTTATAGCCCATCAGAGTAAAAAGGGGGGATATATTTGTATTACCTGCAATTTAAAATATTCTTTCTTTCTGTGTGTACAATTTGTGATTTAAATACATTTACACATCTGGACACATTTCTGAACATATACATTTTTACCCCTTAGTATTTCAATGTAAGTAAGCAGATTACAGAATATAATTTATCACTGTAAATAGGGAATTCCTTTTTTCTTAACTAAACTTCATGTCAGGAAAACCAAATGTCAACCTGCTGCAGCCCCATTATGCATTCATTGTATGTAACATTACCATGTTTTGTAATCAGTTATGCTTATTAAGTCTTTATCCTCTCTGGTGGCTCTTTCAGTGCTGTTTGCTGACATGATTCCTACAATTTGTCCATAAGCTAAACTACTTGTTATTCCATTCTCATGAGGAACAGTTTCCCCCACACACCGCCACTGTCCTCTCTCCCTCCTCCACTCAGTCAGTAATGGCATCAGGGTTTGATGAAATCTCACTAACGCAAGACGTCCCGGGCTGGTTGGGCTTCTGCCTTCCAGATGAGGTCATGGGCGCTCCGTTTTGATGGGATTACATGCGGCTCTGCCCACTTAGAGATTGGACCTGCTTTCTTCTGATGCTAATAGAACAAATCACCCGTCGTGCCACGGTGCTTGCGCATGCCTTTGAGAGGGCAGGACAGGGACGACTGAAACCTGACTGAGATGGAAGGCATTCAGACTGAGCGGGGGACGTAAACTGTAAAACACAAGGAATAATTAGTGTGTGTAGGAAACAGAGGGATACCACTGCCCTCACTGTTTCACGTCATTACGTGCACTTTTTTTTGTTGCAGTGAAAGAGGCCAAGTCTGGACTGAACAACTGCACTTAGCCAAAAAGGCCACTATTGATTTTCCTTCAAGTTCTTATGAGAGCATTAAGTATTTGTCTCCACCAGTAGTTGTGGGTCAAAGAACCTGAAATTCTTGGACAAAAATTGATTTTCTAAAATTTCTTATTAACAGCCTGCTTACTCATGGCAACCTGTTCGGTGACTTCTGGACTTCTAGATTAGAGCCTGTGGTGACATCAATCCTCTGGACAGAGCAAACTGCTTGTAGGAAACTCTTACTGTGCTCATAATTGCCTCATTATGTTTTAGGTTGTTCTGGCTGAGGCTGTTTTTCACCATCATCATCATCATTACTATGTAATATGGTGTAATTAATGTTTTTTTTCCTCTTAAAACGCTCATTTCAGGGTTCATGACCGTGCCACTTTTGACTAATGCTTCATGATAAGCAGCAGAGGAAATGGACTTAGGTTGTCAAACAAGCAGGCTTTGGATATTAACATACATTTCTTATATTTTTTTCTATAATTTATTGGATGTATGGCCAAAACTCCTGCAACTGTAATCTCTTCATTTGTCTTATGTACATGCAAGATGAAATTTGGGGCCAAGTGATACTTGACCTAGAGTGTTTTTTTAAATTTTTTTTTAGTATTTTAAAGAGGTTGAAGGAAAGCAGGGCCGCCATCCATCATGCAGACAGGGGGTATCGCCAGAGCAAGGCCTATTTTCAGCCATCCTCACACGGTTCACAGAAATGGTACACACACTATATTAACTCCCTTTATTTTAATTATAGAGAACGGCTATGCCCTGGGACAGTGTATGGATTCAACTTTTTTTCCTCCTCACCGTGTCGGTTTATTATCAGTCGAACCAAATGCTCAGACTGTTTGGTTACCTGTAAGAGAAGTAATGATGGCTGATGAGGCTGGATTTCCGACTGCTCATACTGATGTCTTGACTGATACTGAGGCTTGACTGAAGCAGGCGGAACACGGTTAAGGCCTAAAAATAAAAAGGTGATTTCATGAAAGAATGACCAACGACCATCAGCGGAAATAACAGACGCTAAAGGGGGAGACTGCAGGAAACAAAGACGATGAGGGGGGGGGGATAGAATGTGGCGGAGATGCCATCAGATAAAACAGAGATTGGTTTGTTTGGCAGTCTTTGTGGTTACAGAGTGTGATTGTGATTGCTCGGGCTGTCTGCCCTGTCGGGGTCTCGTCAGCTGCGGTCAGGTGAGGTGGGTCGCCTGCGTGTCTTCTGAGCTTCATCACCACTGACAGCGTTGCCTCACCATACACTCCATTGATTCTTCGACAGGCAGCCTCCACCAGAATGAAACCAACCTTTTGCCAGCGTGTGCATGCTCATTTTAAGTAAAAACCTGTCTGATAGCCAACACGACTTAATCTTGAAGCAATAGTGGCACCATTGAGCTCTGAGGGTTCCAAAATGAGTTTTACCTAAAGATGCATTCAAAGGTGTAGCGCCACACATGACAAAAAGCTGCAATACCCAAGAATAACTGTAAGAAAGAATATCAATCTTCTACATTGGCTACTGTGGGAAAAAAATAGCGAAGAAATAGATAATCGGGCTTCTCAGCAGAAGTTGACCCCTTGCGCTGTTGCTTTTGGACAAAGGAAACAAACAGATTGCTCAAAAGCTGTGATTGAACTCATCCCTCTGACCATATCTGAGGCACCACCGGTGTCGATGGTGGCGTTAAAAATGATCAGTCTATGTGTAAAGGAGTGTGCTCATAACCACAGAAGTCATCCAATGAGCCAAAAGGGATTAGTAGAGTCACCTTGAATCAGCAGTGTCATTTTGCCCAGTAAAATTGCATTATGGGAGCTGGAGCTGGCCCTGTGATTTGTGTCCTCCTGACAAGGCTTCAGTGTTCATTAGAGGCTGTGGTGAGCAGCTCTTAGACACACGGGAACCGCACACACTGGACATTTCTGACCACACACACACACACACACACACACACACACACACAGCGGACATCTCTGACCATCCCCACCCTGCCCATAAATATGCACTCTATCTTATCTAGAAATGTTTTATGATAAAGTGAACAATTTAGGATTTTTCTAATTTAACAGATTGGACTTTGTAATCAGGTTTGTGTTCGTTTGATAACGGCGGTGCATCTGTGCTTGCTGTGCAAATTATCGGATAAACAGGCAAGAGTGAGCCTGTGGAGTTCTCACATGAAATCATGTTACATCACTTTCCTGTTAGGCTGGGGTCTCCCTCCCATCACTGGTGTGCCAAGATGGCAAAAGGGCTTCCCTGTCCACGCTGTGTCACATATGTGCATAACATGTTGCTGCATGTCTGTTTTGCAACTACGCGTAACCTATTTTATGTGTTAAAAACACTCGACTACACAAAGTCAGGTGCCTTGCAGAGCATCTCTTGTGTGTGTTTCTACTATGTGGCTGCATCCTGTGTCTGTGTATCCACTCGTGACCATTCCTCCTTTCCTCCTTTCTTTGCACAGATTAAATATGACAGTGCCGTTCCAGTTGGTTCGTCACTCCCATTATAATGAAACATCTCTTTATTGGGGACAAATTGATTTTGGGCAGAGCCTTGTTTATTAGCTTCTGCTCCTCTGAGCTGATCGTGATTCAGCAGATTCAGCATCTCTGTTTAAAACAATCACCTCCTTGAAACTAAGACCAACTCATGAAATATAGAACAAGGAGAGCGCCTCTGGAAATTGACTGTTCGTTTTGAATGAAAACTGAGAGTTAAAAAAAAAAAGAAAATCATTTTCCCTCACATCAGTCCAAATGATTAAAAGGCCTCGGAAGAATGGTGAGTGAATGATTAAAGGGGTATGTGCTGTCGCTGGGGCGTCAACGGTGCGTCTGAGATAGTTATGGATGTCGTGGAGGAGACGTGAGTTACTGGCGCTGTTTGATGAACATCTCCCTGTTTCTGACTTTCTTTCTCTTTCATCTCTCCCCTGTCCTTCCTTTTGCTTTTCCTTTTTTTTTTTTTTTTTAAATTTTGTCTGTTGCTTCCCCTTCCCCCATGTCTTCCAGCCAGGCCGATGATTGCCATTGTGGGTTGTCTCCTGTGGTGACTGCAGACTCAAGAGTTTTCCTCCCCTGCTGCATCTCGAGACCAACTGATCTCACAATTCCTGCAATCCCCTCATCAGCTTACATCACCCCTCTTTCCCCTCTTCCCTCCTTCTTCTGCTTCTAACTATCCGCCGAACCCACCCCCGTGAAGACCTGCCAGTGGAGCCAGAATGGAGGACACTTACAATAACAGGACTTCCCTGGTTAAGGGGGCCAAGGGCATGGTCAAGGAGGCCAAGCGGCACGCAACAAAGAAAGTCAACAAAGTCGTCGATCGCGCTACGGACGAATACTCAACTCATCGCAACTACAGCCGATTCCAGGACGAGGAAGACGAGGATGAGGATTTCTACAGGAACCCGCCGAGGCAGGATGGAGAGGGTTACCACGACAACGAGGAAGGCTCCAGCGATGCCACGGAGGGCCATGATGATGAGGATGAGATCTACGAGGGTGAGTACCAGGGGATCCCATCGGCAGGAGACGGGAAGAAGCATAAGGAGGGCCAGGTGGCGGTGGGACAACCGGTGTCAGACTCCACAAGGGACCGTAAGGATCTGGAGCAGGAGAGGCAGGCGGATGAGGAGGAGCTGGCCCAGCAGTACGAGCTGATCATCCAGGAGTGTGGCCACGGGAGGTTCCAGTGGCAGCTGTTCCTGGTACTCGGGCTGGCGCTCATGTCAGATGGGGTGGAGGTGTTCGTGGTGGGCTTTGTGCTGCCCAGCGCCGAGACAGACATGTGTGTCCCCAACTCCAGCTCTGGATGGCTCGGTAAGGACCCCCCATGTGTTTGTGTGTCGGTGAGTGATTATGCATCTGTTTGTGCTGACATGAAATAATGCAGTTGCTTCAGTGTTAATTGAACTGAGCGTGTTCGTTTAGTTTTTATGATTTTGAATTGTGTTTTTTAGGAATTTTTTTAAAAATGGATTACCATCCTCTTGCCTTGTGCACCTTTAGATGTATGGAGCTTGATTCATATTTGCATTATTACAAAAACAGCAGGAATGGTGTCTAATCAGACGATGTACTGCTGCACTATGGGATCCACTGCTCTTGAAGCTTGACCTATACTTAGGCCTCAAAGCTGGGCCTCACCTCAACAGACTTTGACTTTAAAAAAAGGCCCTCATAAGCCCAACAAATAGAACGAGTCACTGCTGCACTCCTTTAAATAACTAGTAACTGGTCTCCATGCTCATGTAAGTGTCACGTTACTTTCAGAAATATAGCAAACAAAAGTGTATGACTTTAACTGTTTCATCATAAAATATGACTTTGGATCTGCAGAGGTTTACTGAAAGCAACTTCTTTTCCTGGTGGTCTGGATGTAAAGGTGCAACTGACCAGCATCCTACATATCGAATATTATACACAAAGAGCACTTCTGATACAGCTACACCCAGAATCAAACCATTTTAGCAGACAAGTGTACTTTATAAACATGTTGCATGCTAGAATTATAGTTTGATTCAGTTTATGGGCTGCAAGGTGGTGCAGTTGGTAGCACTGTTGCCTCGCAGCAAGAAGGTTACCGGTTAGCATCCCGGTGGGGGTACTGGGATCTTTCTGCGTGGAGTTTGCATGTTCTCCCCGTGCAGCGTGGGTTCTCTCCGGGTTCTCCAGCTTCCTCCCACACAGTCCAAACCCATGTTGAGGTTAATTGTTGATTCTAAATTGTCCGTAGGTGTGAATGTGAGTGTACTTGTCTGTCTCTAAGTGTAGCCCTGTGATAGACTGGTGACCTGTCCAGGGTGTCCCCTGCCTTCACCCTAAGTCAGCTGGGATAAGCTCCAGCCCCCCCGCGACCCTAGATTAAGCGGTGTATAGATAATGGATGGATGGATTAAGTATATTGTGTGAAACTGCCACGTCTTTCTGAGGGATATCACTCGTCTTGAAAAACCGTATTGGTTGTGCGTGTTTGTACTATACATGTCACACTTTATCCAATAACAGAGTGTCACATGGATGAGGTGTTTCGGTCCGCTGGTCTCCGTGTCAGGATTAAGAGGGTACCTAGTATTCCCTGTGTGCTCTGCGGGTTGAGGTGGAGTCTCAGCAGTCCCAGTAGCTGCAGGTGTATAATCCATCACCACAGAGCTGTGTACAGGGGCTGACTCATTGTGTCAGTACCAGAGTGGAGAGGACATTAAATCAGGCACACAGCCCTTAGATACTAACCGCCACAGTGAGACGTGACAATACATCAACTTCACAGCAACATTGATACGGTGGCGACTTTTTGAGAATGGAAGTTGTGACTGAAAGTTTGAGTGAATGTGTAAAATAAGAAATGTGCATACCCCTGTTAAACTCAAAATGTATTCTTGTACCTTTTCAAACTCATATTATTAATATATCCTAACAACAGCAATTACATTTATTTCTATATGTCGTCCCTGTTAAGTCCTGACAAGATGTTGTGTGCGCGAAACCTTCATTTTTCTTTCCAAGTATCCATGTAAACTCTTTTCTCCCTCTCTAGCCAAGTAAAGTCCTGCAGGCATTCATGCTCTACGCTCTGCTTCTCCTTGTTCGTGACTCCATCCCCTCACCCTCCATTCTATGTGCCTCCCTTTTCTTCTCCCATCCTCCCCCATTCTCCTCTCTTTTCTCCTACTGATTGCCCCGAGGCTCCTCCCCCGTCGAGGTGAACATGATTGGTGTATATATATGTGTGTGTGTGTGCATGTCGGAGCGTAGCCTGCATGATTACTGTGACCTTGTTGGTATCCATTTGGAGTTTTCCAGACTAATTACACTTAATTATAGCCAACAAACTGGAGTGAGTTGATGTTTTACAGGTGCCATGGCAATATTTTATTGCCTTCAAGTGCAGAAATAGACAGTTAGTTCAATCTGTGGATGAATGCGATAAGGCGGACCCGTTTTTCATGTGTCTTATGTAACCTTTATTTAACTAAGCAGGACAACAAGGCTGTTGTTTTGCAGTGACAGCCTGGCAGTTAGATAGCCTCTTTATGGGGAACTGGTGTTAGCAGTGAAAAAAAAAAAGCTGTAAAATAGAGCATCCAACAGATGCATGTTCAGTTTTAGCACCTGCGGCTTGGTCACCTTATCACAACTGGCAGGTATAAAAGTATGAGAAGCTAGTGAAGGATCATGTAGCTGCACTAGTGGTTGGTTTAGTTGTGCAAAAGGAGTTGTGATCTTGGAAGTTTTTCCATCTGTGTTGCATCCTCCTCACTTCGTGTGCTCACATGCACTTGAGTGGGTTTGGTGATAGACATTTTGACTTGTCACAGTAGGAAAGGCACAGGTATATTAATGATGGGATGGCTCGGTTCCATTGATGCCCCTTTTCCACCAAACTGGTTCCAGTGCTAGTGCCTGACTTCACACCAGTTCTTTGTTTTTCCACTGCTTAAGCACCGACTCCAGGCTCTCAAAACTCTCAAAACTATCGATAAGAAAACGTTCAGCAAGTCATATGTTTTGCCTGTGACAAGGTGAGAAGTGCGAACAAATGAGAAAGTTGGTCACACCGATAAAACAGTTAGTCTGGAGTCCTGTGTGGACTTCTGTGTGGCACAAGTGTTGTTCGGTAAACTACGTATGCAGTGACGTATGATGTGGCTCTAACTTGGCTGCTTGCTGATGGAAAAGCAACCGGTTCTTATATTGGAACCAACTAAGCACCAGCCCTAGCACCAGCATGGAACTAGCACCTGGTTCTTCTTGGTGGAAAAGGGGTATGAGTGTCCTAGTAAACCAGCAGCATGCAGGACCTTTACGAAACCTGTGTTTTCTATACTGTGACAACTCAACATGTCTCCTATTTATTCAACATCAAGCACATGTAAGAAACATGGTGTGTGTTATTTAGGATATATGATCAGTGGAACTACATTTACAAAGGTAAAAACTTGACGATACACTAAATGAGTGTTTTCAAAATAATTCCACTCAAAGTCTGGTTAACACTGGAACTATAAGAAACACAATATAAACATATTGTAAGTCAAAGTATATAATATGTTTACTGTGCAAACTGAATTCTCCAAGTAACCTGATTTCTTGTGGGCATGTCAGTGTACCAAATGGCAGGTGAAAAGAAGTAGATGGTTTTTTTTAGAGGAGGCAAACAGCCGTCTATATGGCCAAAAATGGACTTAACAGTACAGTGGAAGTGTCTCTTCCTAGAAAAAACAGGTGAAAAATAACCCCTACCCTCCAAAAACCAAATACCTTTTAAATAAATCAAAAGTTCAAAAACAGAAGAAACTATTCATTTCACTGAGCAATTTAGTTCGCCCACCAAAAAACAAACAAACATTTGAATTACAGAATTTTGGAAAATAGCCATTTGGTTAGTTCTACCTGAGCTGGACTCCCATCACAGTTGCAGCGTGCAGCTCTATTAACCGCATAACAGGCAGAGACAGGGGCACACTGCACAGAAAGAGCTGAATGTAATGGGATAATGCAGTATGAAAAACACCAAGGCCTGAATAGGATGGATGAGTAAAATACTGATTCGATTACTGAATTCAATTTGGTCCTACCAGTATCCCGATGTCACAGGAATCTTTAGCGTTACATCAGAATGAAGGATGGAGTGATGGGTTAGGAGCAGGAGGAGGAGGAGGAGGAGGAGGTGGAGGAGGAGGAGGAGATGGGAAATACTGTAAATATCTGAAATATGGATGTATGATGTGGGGAAGGAAGCAGGAGGCAATACAGACACGGTGAGATGTGATATGTGTGATGAACAGGCAAGAGGAGAGCAGCTTTGAAGCGGCGAGATTACCAAGTTAGAGAGGAGTAATGGGGGAGAGGTGTGGGTGGACGGGAGAGGTAGAGATTGGTGGTGTTTAGTGCACCAACAATGTGAGGGAGAGGCTTAGCCATCATCTCAGACACAACAGACAAAAGGGAACACATCGCCCTATCATTACTTATTTGTTCTCTTAGGCTGCCTTTTCCCTGCTGAAACTCCCCTCATTTTTTTCCCCTTTGACGTTCTCTCAACTCCCTGTTTTCACTTAACAGCCACCTCTCCTCTGCCGTCAATACTTCCTCCCTTCTTTCTTTCTTTTTTTTTTTTTTACAGATCTACTTTATCTTCTCTTCATGCTCACTTCACCATCTTCTCGTCTCTTGCACCTTTTTCCTTTCTTGGCCTTTGTTGTGTCCCAACTTTGTCTGTCTCTTCTCCCTCTTTGTCTTTTCTCATTTCCTATAATTCCTTTTTTCTCCCCCCCCTCCCTCTGTCTGTATGAGCCAGCTGGCAGGCTGTGTGGGGCTGCGTGGTCCAGGGGCAGCTGAGCATGGCTAAACTGCAGTAAGATCGCAGCGTCACTGCAGAGATTACACTACTTGAATAGTGCAGCTCGCTCCACATTGTGTGGGAGAATGTGTGTGTGTGTGTGTGTGTTTGTGTGTGAGAAAGAGGAAAGGCGGGAGTGTTTGATGGGTCTGAATGCGTGCACATTTCTGCTCGCATACGGACACCAAACCTGCTGTCACCAGCAATATCAGCCACGAGTAAACCATGTCTAACCGCACGCTCTTATCACAGCTCCATAGCATCGCTGTATTTCATGGGAATTATCACAGTCTTTAATGTTAATGAAGGTTGGATCATTACTGATGCTGAGTGAGTCATTTTAAAGCCTGCACTCGAAGCCCCACAATAGGTTACTTTCATATAGATTCCATTGAAATCCTGCCCCCACTGATATGACTTAAATGTGACAAAAAAGCTTCAATCTCTTTTTCTGCGGGGGTGGCAGAAGACGGAGGCATGAATCCGATCAAACTGACACGATGTAGTACAAATGTGATTACACGCCGCTCGCTGTAAAGGAGCTGTTGATAGTGGAGGAAAGAGGAAACTAAGGCAAATACTGTAAATGAGAGGGAAGCACAGAGGAGAGGAGAGAGGAGCAGGAGTGTAGAACGGGAGAAAAGGTAGGAAGGAAATGAGGAAAGGGAAATGAGAAGTGAGAGAAGAAATTGGAAAGCAAAAGGAGATGTGAGGAAAAAGAAATGGAGGAAAGGCTGGGAAGAGAGGTGGAAGGAAAAGGAGGTGAAATAAGATGAAGGTAGTAATGCAGAGATTGAGAGAAAGAGAGGGCAGTAGAGAAATCTTAAATCGGAGAGAGCTACCGCAGCGTAGCCGGAGTGTACACCAGACACGCTGTTGTATGGTAGTATCATCATTATGAATAAAACAGGACGGGTGTTTTTCGCGATGCTGAAACAGTTGGCACCGCTAAGAGCGAAGAGCATCAAAGCATGAAATCAGAGAAGAGGTCGTGATGCAGCTCAGCGCTCCCACGGCTCTCTGGGGGCTCCTTGGTATGTGACAGGGCAGAAAACACTGCACCAGGGCCTTCCCCATCCTCTCCCCCTCACTCTCATTCTCCCTCTCTCTCTCTTACCCTATCTGGCAATTACCGAACTCACCTCCTTCATTACCCTTTTCTCTGTTTTGTCACCCCCCTTCATTGCTTTTGCACTTGCTGCTGTGCACATATTTCATTTGCTTGCACTTATCCTGTATATACTTTTTAAAAAAATCTTCCTTCCTTCATTTAGTTCCCCATTTTTAAATTCACCAGCACCAAAAGAAACTAAATGCATTTGTGACATATGCATCCATGTATTAGATTTCCTCCTTTGTGTGTTTTTGCATGATTGCGGCAGCGCTTTGCTCCATATTTTAACCTAAAAGAGCAACTCTGTGGAATTTGTCTTGTCTTTACAGTGTGCCTGGGACTTTTTTTTGCTGAATATTTACCACTTTTGAAGATGTGTTTTGACATCTCAACATAGTGTCATGGGGCAAAACCTTTTGCTTCTGCCTGAGAGGTCTCCTGACACATTGTCATTTTCTGACGGTGCTCTGAGTCTATATGGGTCCTCAGCTCTAAATTCAGCTGTATTTCACAGTCTTGCGTGAGATGTTTGTACCAGTTGGCATCCATTCAGAGCTTTAGAAATATAAGGAGGAAGCTGTAAATATGTGAGTAATATATTAAATATAAAAGCAAACCTCAGGGCAAGACACCCATCCAGAAGCAACAGTGTGTACCCAGAACTGGTTGCCTATTTGAATGCTCTCAGTCGTGTTGGTCCATTTTAGTTGCTTCTGTTTCTTTGGGCAACAGCAGATTTTGAGGAGATACAGTTTTTTCATGTTGAATTTTAAAGACCTCTTCATTTTCTTTTTCTCGAAAAATACATGTAAGTAAGATTGGATTAAACTATACTACTTGTGGAAACAGTTTAGTTGGAGACCACAGAACACCGACTGTATTACTCTGAAACTTGTGTGTGGCTAATAAAATCCCTTTCAGAACAAAGGACACTAAATTCTGTCAAAGCATAAATTTCAAACATGACAGGTTAATTCTATACAAGGGGACATCTGGGCTATTTTTGTGTTATATTACACCACAGTGCACTACGCTCCCCTTTAGTTGACATCATGCTCGAAGATAGCGAGAACGTCAATAAATTCATTACGTAATTGACCGTCCTGTGAGAGAGGTGCTCGTTAGTTAACAGTTTTATTGCTCTTTTTGTTAAAAAGGGCATTAAAGTAGCAGTTTTTTTTATCCTCTTTATCTTTTATGTGCCAGCGTCTCTAAAAAGCCCAACCAAAAACTGGTTCCTGCTCGTACAAAAAGTTGAGTGCTAAAACAAAATGAAAAGGCCTCTGGATGTTTGGATGCACAGCATTTAAATGGGAGGCCAGTGGGTGTTTGCCTGCACACCGTATATCTAGCCTCTCCTTAATGAAGCAAATGTGAACTGTGCATAGGCTGAAGACTCCGTTAAATTTAGAATTGAATTTATGGTACCTTCAGGCGGGTATCTAGATGGCTGCCAAATGTGACAGATAGCTGGATTTTGACCCCTGAAGCGAAAGAGTCAAACAGATATCTGCTCGCAGCAGAGGAGCAGGGACCTGACTGCAGACATTACCGAAAGGAAATGCATCTTGCGATTAAGATTATTGTAATGGGATGAACAAAGTGTCCCTCTGGCTGAGCTGTATCACTCCATATATGACTGCGACTTTCATATCCTCTTCTTCTGCTGTGGAATTATGGATGCGATAACCTCTGTGAACCTGGTTAATGCTTGTGTATCTGCATAGACCTGAAACACTGCTGTCATAGTATCTGTTAGTAAACTATGCTGTATTCCAGCTTGGAATGGAAACAATCAAAGACATTTCAAAAGGGAGAACAATCCAGCTGCACACACACACACTGCATGTCCATGAGAGCTGCTGACCATACGATGCCACATGCAATATAGACTAAAGCAGTAATAATAGGCTCCTCTCTTCAGGGCAGAATCATGATGATCAGTGAAAGAAATCAATGCTGTTTTGTTGGAGCATTGATCCCATTTGTGATGAGAGAGATTAAAAGAGAGCAGAGGGCCCTTTTGTAAAGTCACCCCGCATTACTGTTCACATTTGTCTGCCCATTGATCAGAGCCTGTTTTCTGTCTTTTACACACTGTATTTACTCATCAGCTTTAGAGTGTGTTACCGGGGCCGAGGGTTTCCCGATCGGCTTCGAGGTTCAGTGTCATCAGTCAGTGCTGTAGTTTTTTGGGATGCAGTCAGAGCGGCAGGAATACTATAGGTTTAATTTGGAAATTGCACATGTAGCAAAAGCCTCTTGTTACAGTGAAGTGAAATTAGAAAATATAGGTATACTATGTAGCTCAGGGAATGTGTGTGTGTAATAATAAGAGATAATGTGATATTAGCACTTACATTTACTAGCACTCTTTTTTTCCACAATTTTCCCACCCAGAATCCTTTATACATTTTGTATTCTGTAGAGTCTGTCACTTCTAACTCACTAATGAAGGTTCAGCAAAAATGGGCACGAACTCAGTCGCTCAGCATTTTAATTTTAAAACTTCACCATTTGCCAGCAGAGGAACATTTAGAGGACATGATTCCTAAAGCACCTGGCTTGAGTAAATGTTGGCTGGCTTGGACCACTTAGACTGAGATATTTTAAAACGGAGGCCAACCGACTTCACATTCACCTCAATGAGTAGGATGTTACAGTAAATAAAAAATAAACAAGGAAAATCTGTGAATGGCATTTGTTCAAACTGTGAGCAGAGAATGAAAGAGCAAGGCGTAGTGTGTTCTTTGGTAAAAGATGAATAGTGAATTTCCCTGTTGCGCATATCTGTGGCTATACTAAGATGTCAAAGAGGCTATAATCAATATTTTTATACTGCCAATAAACCACATGACCGTTTATATGTGTTATTATTATTTGTAGTGACAAACCCACAGGGATTATCTCCAGACTCTGTAGCTCCAAGAAGCTCTATGGAGCTTTAAAATGTCTCATAATGCAAAAAGATGGTTTTATGGTTTGCAAATGTACTATTTTGATTCCAGCTCACATCAGCATCAAAGTGGGCAACTAACAGGTGACCAGAAGAACTGGAGTGGAGTGTGTTTACCAAAGAAAATTACAGGTTTATTTGTGTCAGTATTACCAAAGAGCACGTGTAGTTTTTTTTTCTTACAAAATGAAAAGCAAAATCATGTTTGTTTGGTGACCAATGAGACAAACTACAAAAATGTTGGAGACGTCCTTGTTACCAAAACATGCAGACAAGGATGTGAGGTACTGCAATGTATATAAAGACAAACAAAAACCAGGCCCCTCTCTCCTCCTTCCAGGAAGTGTTGTTTACTTGGGGATGATGGTTGGAGCGTTCTTCTGGGGAGGGATGTCTGACAAAGTGGGCCGCAGACAGTGCCTCCTCATTTGCATGTCCACGAATGGCTTCTTTGCCTTCCTGTCATCTTTTGTCCAGGGATATGGCCTCTTCCTTCTTTGCCGTCTCGCTGCGGGTTTCGGGTAAGTCTGATAAAGCAAAGGTCATCTTGACGCAGATGAGGAGTTTAGGCAAATTGTGCACAGTAGTGCCTCAAAAATCTGTTTTTGCAATGGGACGGTCACATTACATGTCCAAAATCAAAATGTGCATCAGTGACAGAGAGAAATGATCATTCTCTGTGAGACAAAATCTATTTGGAGGAGTGTTTCTGTAGGAATGTCTCATCCACTGAATAATTATTGCAGTTGTTGGAAAGAGACTTGAGCAATTTTCTTTAGTGATACTTAAAGCCTATTTCTATCTCACTGCTCTACAGAAACTTATGACTGTTTAATCATAGAATATTTACATCACACATCTGTCTGTCTGTTTCCCTCTCAGCTAAATAAATGTAATTTTTCCAACTGCTGCAAAAACTATAAAGTTGATATAGCCAGTGACTCTTTATAACAAAAATGCTTAGAACATACTGTACATCACTGCATCCCCACAAAATAACAAGTGTCCCAGAATATGTGAAAATAAAAGCTCTACCAGAGACAGACAGTGTGTCCTCCCCTTCTAACACAGAAATATGGCACAGCCTGTATGATTTATTATGTTCTTTTCGTTGGCAGTATAACCGTTCCTTTAAGAGCTAATTCAGTAATTGCATCTACATCATTCTCTCCGGAGACCTTCAGAGTAATTGAAAAGGCTGTCCAAACTGCCGATGTGACCTGTGTCCCTCAATCATGAGCAACTGGCACTATGGATTTTTTTGGGCATTATATTTGGGGGAAAATGTGCATAGCTGTGCTTTGTTTTTTTGTATTTATTTTGTTTGTTTTTTTTGCTTAGCTGTTTTCTTTGTCAATCATTGCAAAGAGTGTGTGTATAGAGTTTGGTATATTTTTAAAGCAAAAACAATCCAAAAAACAGTTTTCAGAGGATAATGGCTGAATAAAACCTGTAGTGTTAGTTGTTTTATGAATAACAATTTTGTTTGTTCTACTTAAACTGAAGGAACAAACCAGTTCACTAACTGTGGGGTTAAGACAAAGCAAATCCATTCTGAATACATATATATATGAAGGATGCAAATCAAAAACAGTTTCTGTCCTGGTTTGGCTGTACCGGCCTCACTCCCATTAACCATCCTACTCTCTGGTTCTTGCAGGATAGGAGGCGCTGTGCCCATCGTTTTCTCCTTCTTTGCCGAGGTGTTGTCCAGGGAGAAAAGAGGAGAACACCTCAGTTGGCTGTGTATGTTCTGGATGATTGGAGAGATCTATGCATCTGCTATGGCCTGGGCCATCATACCACACTACGGTGAGTTTAGAAATACTATAATGTTAACCGATCAGGACTACAGGGTTGGTAGGGGATCATGATTTATATAATACAAAGACATCAAAGGTGACAGAAATGTGTTCTTTGTAATTAAACAGTGTGTTGGTAGAAGGCTACAAAATGTCTTGATCAGTCAAATGAATGCTGAATTGTTGCTGGCAAAGGCTGCCAATTATATGCTGTAAAAAGTCAGTGAAATGCTCACAAGGATTAAGTTTAGCTGTACCACTGATAGGATGCTCGCCAATGTGACTTTACGCTAAGCTCCTGACTACAGTCATAAAACTGTAAGGCCTCCCCGTGGTCTTGGGTTAAGGTGCCAGTTTTCCCTGCTATGCAAATCAATCACTTAATAGCAGTGAGTGGCTGCAGGCTGAGAGAGGCAGAGGTTAAGAGATTAACGTATGCATGGATACCATAGAGTAGGCTCAGGCTGAAAGGGTGAGGGCGAGCCTGTGGGGAGACAGAGCTGTGATTTATGACAGCACCGCATTAGATATCAACTGCACTCATCACCGAGCAAAATGAAGGGAATTGGCTTTCTTCCTCTCCCCTACACGCATCCTTTTCATTTCTTCCCTGCTTTTTTAACCTGCTGTCCCTTTCCTTTTTACTGCCTCCCCTCTCCTCCTGTTTTGTACTCTCCCCATCTCTCCGTCTAACTCTGTCCTTCCTTTTATTACCTCCTCCTCTCTCTCCATTCTCTGTCTCCGCAGAGTGTTCTTCTTGATCAAGCATAATTAGGTTTTTCTCCTTGCTCTAATAGGACAAAGCTACATCTAGAGGTGATTTATGGCCAGACCATGCTTTAGCCAACCTGTGACGTCAGTGAGAGAGAGACAGTGTGTGTGTGTGTGTGTGTATGGGTGAGTTTGTGTGTTGCTGCAAGTTGCATGGACAATGTTGTACTCCTGCTGCAGACATATACAGGTCTTCTTCAAGGGAAATTGAAGTCAATAACATCTGACACCGAAGGAGGTCATTTGAGTTAACGCACCCACACACACAAAGAGGCACAGTAATTGAGTTTCCCATAAAGGACTTCCCAGTTTTCTTACATGCAACTCAAAGAGGTGCACGCACACACGTTGCACAATTGCGCACACTGCTGTAGATCTGCTCACATGGATGTACAGAAGCACGCTGGTGAGGGACTCACAGAAACCCTCTGAAACCCGAACGAGTCTTCACGAGGAAACTCTGCTGTCAGATCTGCTGATATCGTATTGAAGGGATAGTAGTGGCCGTACTTTGCTCTTATTCTCTCTGACACTCACTACCACTCTGCCTCCCTCTCCCTGAGAGAGAACTACGTGTCTTGCATACATACTCCAACGCTCACCAGTGGTTTTTATGTTTCCCCTAAAGTGCTGCAGTGCCTTGAAACAACAGCACTATCATGCGTGGGCAAAAAAAAAAAAAAAAAAAGCCTCCCGTAGAGATACCTTTATGTCTTTCAGTGAAAACATAAAGGTATAAGTGATGGGTTATGATGTGAATTGCCTCAGTGCTGGTGTTTAATACACTATTAGAGCTCTCATTTATCTTCCCCACTAGCTGGCTCCTAATGTCTCCCAAAAGCCCCCCTGCCAGACTCGCAGCTGGAGCCCTGAAGGAGGTCTGCTCGGCACAGATCCTTGACGGGAGGGTTTGAGGAGTTCACTTGCTGCCAAGGAAGATCACCACTCGAGTAACCTCATTAGACACCGCTCAGATCTGCAGATTAAAGTTTAAATACCAAGACTGGACTCCACGTCATGTCTCATATCAGCATGATATATATGTAGCTGAGCCAATATCTATCTATCTATCTATCTATCTATCTATCTATCTATCTATCTATCTATCTATCTATCTATCTATCTATCTATCTATCTA